ATGTATGTATGTATATATATATTAATAGTATATAACATGGTACATTATGACAGCACCTTACAATTATGACAGCGCCTCGCAATAGATTATACTGTTGCCAGAGTTCGGAGTTCGGACGACCAAACCGGCAGTTGGGACTTGGCTGAAACCTGGCCTAGCAATTTTCTTCCCACCCACCCAGCCGACTAAGTCGCACCGAGCAATTGCAATGGTGCGCGCTGACGTGGATTGAAAGCTGGACTACCGTGCGGAAACCAGAAAGCTCTGCGGTAGGCAGACAGGGATGCTAGAGATGGAGATGCGGCAGCGTTCCTGCACATGATCCGAATTCTAATTTATGTAACCAAGTGATCCTCGAATGTCACCGGTGTAAACACACCGAAATTCGCTAGGAGGCTACGTTGGGAATACACTACGTCATCACGGCAGCACGCGGGATCAGAAAATCACCTCGACCATGTCTTGATGATCCTGCTTAGCATCCGGAGAATACTCCTCCTTGACAGTTTCCACGCTCAGAACACGAGGTGCCGCTGCAACATCTGCCTTTCGCCTGCATCTGGACTGCAGAAAGAAGTAAACACGCCCCGAAGCTGCCAAAAGGAGTGAGAAGGCAGCCAAGGATGTGCCTACCACTGCCCAGCCCAATTCGGTAAGACCTGCGATGGTTCGGCGCACGCAGCTGAGCCTGTCTTCTGTGGTGGCGATCTCGTCTGGGCAGCTTGCACAAGCCATTTCTTCAACTCTCCAGTGCTGATGCCCGGCACACGTCTTGCACTGGAGCCCATCGGAGAAGGCGTTCAGGGGGCAGTCCACACACACCAGCATCGAAGTCCGGCATTTGTGTGTTGGGACATGAAACGCTCGGGTAAACCTTGTAGACACCTGGTGGGCCATCTTTGTCTTCGCATCAGGCTTGCATCCTGCCTCTCTGCACAGTCATAGAGAGCCAGTGGTGTGCCGCTCTCTGTCTGACCTCCCCGGACCGTCAAACATCTGCCTGACAACTTCTGGACGATGTGGCTGCCGTGTGATCCGTGTGAAAAGCTCGTGACGGCTCGCAATGCCAGCTGAAGTTCCAAGACCGTTCTCCTCGCCAGGGTTACCATTGACATTCAAGCAAAATTGGCTTGAGACACTCCGGACCTGCCCATTGCGGAAATACCAAACTTCGCTCTCCCGGCCACACTGCTCCATCTTTATCGAGTAGTCCTGTGACACATAGACCCGCGCACAGAGCCCTGACCCTGGGTTCTGGAGGCAGAAGATGGTGGACTCTGGGACGCAGTGGGTCCCATCCTCGGAAACGGCAGTACCGGCTGGGCAGTCTGCGCATGCACCCGATTCTGTGCTCCAGTGCTGATGCTCTAGGCACTTCGTGCACTGGCGGCCATCTGCCGAAAACTGGCCGGGAGGGCAGTCCATGCAAAGCCCAGCACCATCCAAGAACTGTGTGCTCAAACAGCTTGGCCGGCTGGCGAAATAGCTAAAGACGCCTTCCTGTACTTCACATGCAGCCAATAGCTCCCAGCGCTGATCTGTCTGATCTGGTTCCAGATCGAATGCACAGTCGAACAGCTCTACAGCCAAGCCCCTAGAGCGGCCAGGATTTCCTCTGACATCCAAGCACTTGCGTGACAGGCGGTCCACCAAGAAGCCGTTCTCATGCAGCCACACTTGATCCGAGGTGGGATCCTCCGGCATATCACAACCGCCGAGACGCACATCAACACCTCCATCCGAACCAACCTGCTCAATGCAAGTCGCGTGCTTCACGCTCGTGATGAGACCAAGACCCCCTTGGTAACTCCAGACCTGATCGGAGCCCGGTACACTGAACTCACAGTCCCACAGCGCGAGATTCAGATAGGATTCAACGCGATCTCTGCCAGAGATGTCTAGGCAAAGGCCAGAGAGCACATTTCTGATGAAAAAAGCCTCTGACTTGCGACCCTTGCGAACGCAGGCCTCTGGGCAGTCCGCACAGGTCCCTGGAGACAAACTCCAGTACTGATGAACCGGACATCTTGCGCACTGCCCATTTGCGTAGAACTCGTCCCGAGGACAATCCACAGACGAACTGATTGCCGCGACAGCTGGGACGGCTGGAGCTGCATGGGCTGAACACGCCACTCGCCTGCTGACATGCAGGTACCAGCTCCCAGGTCTGGTTTAGCTGCGGGCAATCCTGCACTGTGAGAATGTCTCCTCTCGCATGTGGTGTTAAGCACGTGCCCCAATATCTGTTAACAACCACTCCGCCATTCACTTGCCACACTTGGCTTGTCGACGGATCGGCTGGAGACCGGCAAGGCCAAAGACCGATTCCCCATGGATAAACGTCTGCACAGAGCTGGGTCCACACGATCACGAACTCGTCATCTCCGAAGTACCACACCTGTTTCGAGTTCTGGACCCCGAACTCACAGTCCAACAGGCGTACGGGACTGTCAACATTTCCCGAGCCAGACACTTCCACGCAAAGTCCAGATTGCACCTCACGAACAAACACAAACTCTGCGCTTAGACGTGTCAAAACGGCCATGGCACAAGCTACACGAAGAAGCATGTCGGCTGCACAGCCAATTCGTCAGAATTGCGTTGTCCCGAGCCAAAATGGCTTGGGGCACGCAAGAAGGATGGGAGACAGCAAGCAGGCTGCCTGGCACACAGCGACTGCAAATTCAAGTCAGGAGGTGTCAAGCAAGTCTCGGGGGTATGGTCTGCAGGCGAACTCGAGCCAGACACATGTAGATCGCCCCTGTCTGGATCTCTGGCAAACCCGGAAACGCTGAATGCACCAAAAGCTCTCAGCGGCAGACACAGATACACTGGCCCAGCCGCCCTGGGCGTCAAAAATAGGAATCACTCCCGACGGTGGGATGTAACCGTGGAGAAACCCATAGCCAACATAAATTAAGATGTTGATTGCCAATTTGCGCGCTCAAGAAACTGATTGACACTTGCTAACAACACGGCAGGATGTGTCACTTCTTACGGTTCGGGCTTCCATGTTTGCTTCTATCGGCCGAGCTGGTGCCTGAGGAGCATATGCACCAGAAGGGAGAAGCCACGAGCTAAACCAGGATCGACGCCGAGAGTGACAAAAAGGCTCACTATTCATCTCAATCGTCTACCCTACACAACAAGGAGTAACGACCATAGCAGCCGATAGCACGCTCAACGGCCCCAGCTCAGGAACTCAGCCGGAAGGTCGAAGGTGGGAATATGTACTGAACATACGGAACTCAGGAGTGAACTCCAGGCGATTCCAGAGAAGGGGGGCTTGTGACTGCTCGAAGTCAGGCATGGGTCAGAGTCAGTCGAACCACGACATAAGGGGTCGAGCCGGCAGGCGAACTTTCAAAAGCAGGCGCATGCGAAGACTTGGCAGAACAAGCTGGGATTCGGACACTTGTGGAAGCCTCCTGGAATGCGATGGTTATCGCCTGCAGTTCTCTCAGGCTCCCGCATCGCGAGCCACAGCAAGTTCTCTCACAATTGTTGGAGGGGTTTGGCGAGGTGTCTGGGGTGTTACTAGGTTAAGACTAGGCTAGGTTTTCGGAACCTCGGAGTCTCAGAGGGCGATGTCTTGCGAAAAAGTGCACCGGTGGTGGATCGGCAGCAGGATTGATCCCTTGAACACACCTCTTTTGGATGCAAGAACACAACACAAGGTGAAGCGCAGCGAAGCACAGGCATTTACACGGGTTCGTCTAAATTGACAGAACCGTGGCGTATCCTCTTCAGCCGTGCCAGTTGTCTCGTCTTGCTTTGCAGGAAGGTTCCTAGAGGATCAGTGCATGTCGGTGCCTTGTGGACCTCGCTGACTTCACAACCGCGCTTCTCGGCCTGGGTTAGACCGAGTCAGCTTGTGGAAAGGTGCTTCTAGATTCTATGGCACTCCATCCAGCTCAGCGCGTGGCTACACAGTCCAGCGCTTCCAAGAACTGTTCCATCCCTGGCTTGGGGAGCTGCGGGAGCATGGCCACGGTGAGAGAAGCGCTCGTTCCATAAACGTATAAACAGATCAGAGGAGCAGTAATGGCGTTCTTTCTCTCCGCCTTTCTCTCCAGGGCATTGGGGTCCGATCAGAGTCTCACCCGAGGAGGGGCGCCCCCTCTTGTCTCTCTTTCTTGCCGAAGTCCTGTTTGCACAGCAACTTCTGTGAGGCCCCGACCTCGCCAAGCCCTAGACCCTGATACTATGAAGAGGTAGTGCAAGTCCCAGCTCGAAGGGTTGCTCTGGGGTTAGGGGCTTCAGACCCCCCTCCCCATGCACGCGCAGCGCTGCACCAGTGCCTCTCTCTTTCTCTCGGGTTCAGGGAGATTCCATGGATCAGCTTCAAACTGCCAGGGACTCGCATGAGGAGTTGCTCTCATCCTACCTGGTGCCCTACCTGAGGCTTTCGGTGATGCTGTTTCGGTGCGCGACCAGAAGCGCTGCGCTGCGGTTCCGAAGCTCCGAACTCTTTGCTGCGAAACCTGATTTTGTAAGGTATTAGTGGGTGTTGGGCATGTCAATCCAAACCTCGTCTACAGAGATCCACTCATCTATGCAGAAATTCGAAAGCCGGTAATGGCAATGCAATGTTTCCAGTGTCTCTATGGAAGTGGGACTGCTCGCAGCTGTAATCTGTGTGCAGCAAGCGGCCATTTTCTGCAGGCAGCGCGCTTGCAATGACTCCGCCTCAAGGCATCTAGACTCGTCACCCACCCTGCCCTAAATCCTGGAACCGGCAAACCTCAGATCCAACCCTGCTTGAAGCCGTCGCGACCCCGAGCGCTTTCGGGCAGTGGGCGCGTCTCACGCTGCAGGCTCCGCTTTGGCCTGGTCCGATACCAAGTTTTTGAACCCAGGCCCTAAGTTCGACTCAAAATCAAGCTGGCGCTAATCACCACTTAGGGTTTGCAATACACCAACTCTGAAAAATGATCCCATAAAGAGCACCCATGTACCTCCAGAATTCTAAACCTTAAACCGACATAATCCCTAAACCCGTCGAACCCAAGAGTCTCCAAAGCCCGGGGCGAAGGAACCAGCCCGGGGAAGCTCTCCACTTAAAGGCTGGCTGGAGACCCAATTTCTGCCGGGATGTTGGGTTAAGGAATCTACACCAAGTTCTAAGGACTCCTTCGGAGGCTTTCGGCTAAGGGCTTGGGAAGCAGCGCTGCCAGATTCAAAGGCCTGCAAAGACTATCGCGAACTGATGAATATCCGCACTGAGAACTGAGAACGTGGTAGCACTCGGTACCATGGAACCATGACGGAGTGTTACCGGGGCTTGGGTTTCTGATGGCTATGTCATGATCACCGGGCGGCATGATGTATGGAGCCACTGCGTCATGGGCAGCTGCAGATAGCATAGTAGTTTAAGATGCAGATTCACGACACAGAAGCATTAAGCATGCATGTCACCAGGAGGCACACAGCAAAGTTCCACCGCACGAGATGTCTTCAAGCGTGTGACATCCTCTTGAAGCCTTACACTCCGAACCCACAAAGACCTAGATCCTGGAGCCGACCACCGACGCCTCCTCACCCTCGGTGAGCTTCCGCCGGTGCCGCCGGGCTTCGAGGGCCTCCCACTGGAGAAAACCACATCAGACTAACTAAGCAACCCTGGCACACGGAGCTGCCACAGGCTCTCACCTTCTGCCTGCCCGTAGCTATGTCTGGATCAAGGCTTCAAAGCAGCGGACAGGATCCCAGCGCACACAGCTTACGGTTTCTTACTCGTAAACATGTACATATAGGTAGGTAGGTAGGTAGGTAGGTAGGTAGGTAGGCAGGCAGGCAGGCAGGCAGGCAGGCAGGCACCTCTGCAGCAGAATCCAACAGACAAGGGAGATGGACTAATATTGATGACAGATAAGCAGGTAGATGGACATGGTAGCAAAGCAGACCAAGGGATGCAGGCAAGTTCAAGTTCTCGCAGGTTAACAAGCACATGATCAAAGCAGAGAGATAGATCATGATAGATCGAAAGACCTTAACCCGTGCCCCCTCCTGAGATGGGCTCATCCGCAAGACCCGTATCTCTCTAAGCTTTAGCTACTTTAGCTCGGCCCCTGGTGGCCTGTTGCTTCTCCTGCAGCGTGGGGCAGCCGGGCCGCCTTGGCGGGAGAGGGAGACGGAGGTCACGACACTGCGAGGCACCTCGTGAAAGAAGTTTCCGACAGCCCGAAAGCCCAGGGACCAGGGAGAACAGGATGCTCTACAGACACCCCGGCAGCCTGCCAGCATCATCGGTTGATGGCCCACTTGTTTGGGATGTTAGAGGCAACTGTTGGTGGCATCAGAAGACGATGCCGTCAGCATTGTTTGCAGACCCTCGTGAATGCCGACAATCGAGTCATCAACCCCCATCCACCCGTCACCCATACATACATACATACATACATACATACATACATGCATGGGTGACACTGCATAACTATATTGGTACATCTTCCTTCCTTCCGTCGGGTCTGAGTCCGGTAGCTCCGGAGCCTGGGCACTCCCTTCCCCGTCTGGCTTCGGAGGGAAGAGGCCTTGGGGTCCTGAGCGAAAACGGTTACCCCCAGGAGATTAGTACATCCCTCTCTCTCTCCCTCTCCCTCTCCCTCTCTGCGATATGCTTCTTAGATGTTGTGCCCGAGAGGCTGCAGCAGCGGCACATGCTTGCGCTTGCCCTCGCGCTCTGCGTTGGGCGGTTCACCACCGCAGGCGGCCAACAGGCAACTCGCGACTGCCGAGGCTCGCAGCTGCCTGTCCCGAAGGTTCCGGAAAGTGTCCTGATTCAAGGCCACGACTCAAGCAGTGACAGTCAGATCAAGAAAGGCCCAACTCCCATGCGAAGTCTGCTACCTCGAGCTGCAACGGAAGTAGGGTGGGGTCCAGCATGCAGGTGGCTTTCTCCTCGACTGGCCCTGCTAAAGTGCTCCTGTGCTGGAAGTCCAAGTGATCCTCGAAGGCCATGCTTTGCACTGGCCATCCAAAAATGTGCCGACCCGGAAACGGGAAGCTCCAGAGCACTTTGTGTTGAAAACTGACTACATCAGCATAGCATCAAGGACCATCAACCTCTTTGGGATCAGAAAATCCCCCCGAACATATCTTGATGGTCTTCTTGAAGGTCTTGCATTGCATCCGGAGAATACTCCTCATTGACCGCTTCCACCCCGCAGCTGTTTTCTGTGGCGGCCATCTCGTCTGGGCAGCTTGCGCAAGCCATTTCTTAAACTCTCGAGTGCTGACTCACGTCTTGCACTGGAGCCCATCGGAGAAGGCGTTCAGGGGGCAGTCCACACACACGCCAGCATCGAAGTCCGGCATTTGTGTTGGGACATGAAACGCTCGGGCAAACCTTGTAGACACCTGGTGGGCCATCTTTGTCTTCACATGCAGGCAGGAAGTGCCAATACTGACCAGTCAGGTTTGTATCCTGCCTTTCTGCACAGTTATAGGGACCCAGTGGCGTGCCGCTCTCGGTCTGACCTCCGCGGACCGTCAAACATCTGCCTGACAACTTCTGGACGATGTGGCTGCCGTTCAGCTGCCACGCCGCGCCTGATCCGTGTGAAGCGCTCGTGACGGCTCGCAATGCCAGCTGAAGTTGCAAGCAAAATTGGCTTGAGACACTCCGGAACTGCCCATTGCGGAAATACCAAACTTCGCTCTCCCGGCCCCACTGCTCCATCCTTAAAGAGAAGTCCGCCCTGACCTTGGGTTCTGGAGATAGAAGATGGTGGACTCTGGGACGCTGTGGGTCCCATCCTCGGAAACGGTACAGTGCTCATCTGTCTCATCTGGTTCCAGATCGAACTCACAGTCGAACAGCTCTACAGCCAAGCCCCTAGAGCAAGGATTTCCCCTGACATCCAAGCACTTGCGTGACAGGCGGTCCACCAAGAATCCCTTCTCATACAGACACACCGGATCCGAGGTGGGATCCTCCGGCACGTCACAACCGCCGAGACGGACATCAACGCCTCCATCCGAACCAACCTGCTCAATGCAAGTCGTGTGCTTCACGCTCGTGATGAGACCAAGACCTTCTTGGTAACTCCAGACCTGTTCGGAGCCCGTACACTGAACTCACAATCCCACAGCGCGAGATTCAGACAGGATTCAACGGGATCTCTGCCAGAGATGTCTGGGAGTCTAGGCACAGGCCAGAGAGCAAAAAGCCTCTGACTTGCGACCCTTGCGAACGCAGGCCTCTGGGCAGTCCGCACAGGTCCCGGAGACAAACTCCAGTACTGAAGAACCGGACATCTTGCGCACTGCCCATTTGCGTAGAACTCGTCCTGAGGACAATCCACACAGTTTCCGCCCTGGACGAACTGATTGCCGCGACAGCTGGGACGGCTGGAGCGCAGCCAATTTCTCAAAGTTACGCCTTTCCCTGAGCCAAACTGGCTAGCGGCTTGGGCTAGGTTGGGCCCTCGATTGCCGCTCGCAATAAGGAGGGGAGCACGAACGCAGGCAAGAGGGCCAGCAAGATTTCATGAAAGTCTCGAGTGTAGTGTTCACCTGCGAACTTCAATCTTCTCTGCTGAGGCCTTCAGCCCAGCCAGGCCCACCGGTTTAAGAAGTTTTGAAGCCGAAACCCTGAGGAATCAGTTTGAAAAGGCGAGATGCCACCCCCGAAGCAAGAAGGAAAATCAATATGACCCAACAATCAGCCACCCCCAGTGGGGGCCCCGACATTTGCTCGCTCCAAGCCCAGCCGCTATATAAATCCAAAAACGATTGCTGGGACACAGAAATCCTGGAGGTCGAGGACGAATACCCACTAAACCCATGCTTTCAAGACAAGTTGAACCGAAGCAAGCAGGAAGGGGGTTTTGTCTTGAGAGGAACCCAGGCTTCGAACTTGATCTTCTGTCGGACTCTCTGTGAAAGAGGGAGTTGTTGCAGGTTGCCTGGGAAGCCGATTCAATCGACTGGAGCCCAAAAAAAACGCTTGAGACTTCCACTGAAAGAACAATCAGCCACGGGGCCGCAGCGCAGGACGGGGTTGGAAGTCCCGATTCTCCTTCAGGCACGCGGCTGTGGGTCTGGACTTGCCGCGTTGCAAATGGCAACTGCTTCCACCCGAGACGCTTCCGCCAACTATGATGCTGCAGAGCTCAAAAGCTCAAAAGCACTAACCGCACCGCCACCCTTGACACAAAGAAAATCCAACCCCCACCGGCAGAGGTTAGGGAGAACCCGCCTGCTGGCTTAGGCGAGCTGGGCGCAAAGTCGACACCCTCGAAACCACAGTCGCGAAGCACCTGGGATTAGGATCTCTGAAAGCCAGATGCTGGTCTACGTCGTCGCCAGCTTCCACCAACAAAACACAACATATCCCTACTTTTCAGGTTGCGCAAGAATGCGCAACGCTCCGTCTTCCGACAGTCGCCTCCGTTTGAACACACCTCTCAAGCTCGCTGAGACTTCGCAACCTGGCTTCGGACGGGTCACCAAGCCAGACTCATCGGCCGGCTCGTACCTGGCGAGTGCTGAAACAGGTACCCTCCTGGCAGTGTCAAACGCATGCGAGCCAGCGCTTGCAGTGCGAAATCTTTGCGCTGCAGGCCGACGACGTTAGGCCTCTTGAGGGGTTGACTTTTTGCCACTTCTGACTAGCTTCAGCTATTTCAGCTGACTTTCGGCTTTCACAGGCTCCAAGGCTCCAAGCTTGTCTCCAAAGGTCGGCATGGGACGGTCTGCATTGCAGCAGGGCGGCAGCGGCTTGCGCGGGTAGCGCTCCACGTCCAGTAGCTCCTGGACGACGCTGGGCTGCTCTAGGCCTTGCACACGCGGCTTCCCCAATGCATGCAGATGATGCTGACGAGGGATGGTGAGAAGATCATACAGGAGCGCTTGCTTGCTCTTACAAAGAGAATCGCGACGTTACAGTAACTGCATAATGGCATAATATCCGGTCGTGCCGTTCTCACATCTCCTGCCCGTAAACATCAGGCCAATTTGCCGGATCCTTCTTGGCCAAGAACTCCGAAAACTGTTGTGAACAACACAGCTATTACTGACACTTCGTAGTAATCCGCTTGTCTTGGCCCACTGATGTCTCATTCGAGACGGCCCGCAAGACTGGCCTTGGCCCACAAGGAGAAGCACGGCCGCCATACAGCGAACCTCCGGAGCGCTTCGGCGGCGTGGGTCTGTGTGCCATCAGCAGACCAAAACTCGCAGAAAGCCGCCTGATGCCAAAGGAACGCGACGCCAGTGACGGCGAACTCGGCCACACCATCGCTCAGTGGCCGCACAGACACCGACAGCACCCGCCGACGGTAGTTCGTGATGTTCTCGACATCCATTTTGCCTTACAGGTCGTGCGTGTCGGCTAGAGGCAGGATTCCTTGCATTCGGCCCCATTCCGGCTCTTCATGGTTGAGTTGATCCTGTGCACCCACGTGACAGAAGTTTCGAAAATCGTGCTCGCCCACGAAGTAAGCAGCTGCTTCCCGCATTTTCTGGAGGTCTTCCCCAGCATGTGGAAAGTAGTACCTCATTCATGAACCGGGTGAACCAAGGCCCGAAGAGACTCCGATCAGTCGCAGTGGGGTGGGGTCACAAGGATTGCCGGAAGTCGGAAGTGTTCTATTTCGGATGTGAGCTAAGACAGCTGCACCGCTTCCCCGCTGGCTGGAAGCCAGAGGCCTCAGCCTCAAGCAGACATTCAAAGAACGACAACTACGTATCATGCACGGACACGAACCCCTAAAGCCTTTGACATGCAGTTCTCGCACTGTACCTTTCCCGCGGCTGTAGTTTTGCGCAAAGCATACTCCACTCTGGCCGCCACAGTACCCCTGAACAACTTCAGGCACAGCCCGAGAAATCTCAAACCGCGGCCTTGTGAACTGCAAGGTGTCTGGGGACCGCTTCAGGGTTTCCGGTTTCAAGCGAGGCTGAAGTCGTGCCAGGGTTGCCATCTCTTCAAATGCCCAGGTGATCTATCTGACACTATAAGAAGGCCGCGCACTCAAATTCGAAGGTAACTCTGCTGCTAGAACCTGTGGCCCTAATCCCAATCTTTGAGCCTGGTTCAATGCTGGCCAATTCGCTGGTACGCTCGGAACAGGCAGCTGAAGCGAGCGTCGAAGCCACTCGGCGCAGGCGCCGCGGCCAAGATCCTCTTGATCCCACGGCAAAGCTTCTCGGTGCGACAAGCAATGCTTGGGGTGCAGGGCTTGTGTTAAGGTTTCGGGTGATGCAGGAGAACTGGTACCGCCCCCCCCCCCCGGCATTTCCTGATGTCGGACGGCAGCACGCCATTAAGAATGCTGGGGTAGTCAAATGCATCCTTGAACGGACACGCACGCCATCGCAAGACTGAACTCTATCTTGCTGCATGCTGGAATTGCTGGATGCGGCCCGGCGGCCGTCCCAGATTCAGAGCCGGGCTTTAGCCGCAGAGTCAAGGACACGTAGTTGCCGGCGGCATGCACCCCCTGGCGACCCCACACCGTGCCGAATTTCAATCTTCTTGAACAAAACTCCAGGTCATCAAGGGTCAGCATCGGCGGCACAAAGCCCTTTCTGCCTTGTCGGTGCGCCCGCAGCGGGAGAAGTTGCAACTCTGCCGGTCCTAGAGCTTGTTTTGAGGTTGGTGTGGCTTGAACTCAGAGGCCTCATAGCAAGCAACCCCGCTCCTGGATGAGGCGAGTCTTCTGCCTTTGCTCCGAGACGAATGAACAATCGTCTTGAAATCCACTATGTGCCGTCGAATGTCGAGGGTGCGAGAATACTGCACACTCCATGGCATCATGAGGCTAGCGTGATCACTTCTTACTGCCGCCCCATGGCAGCGGAACTCTGAGCACCATCAGAAGCTTTATCCCTAGGATGTAGCTGGGCCACAGTCTTGCCTGGATTTGCCTGGATCCCACACACATCCTGAATCCGAAGATCCTCAGCACGAGCCGAAATGCTACTGCTGCCCGGCTACAAGGCCTCGAAGAGGGCCGCTTCGACGGTTGGGCAAGTGCTCGGCTCCTGAGCTTTCGGTCCACACACCTCTTTGTGTTTGGAGTGCCATCCATTTTGAAGCGAGAGTTTCTGTACTCGTGGCGTAGGACAGAAGAGCAATCACCATCAAAACCATGAGCCACTGTGACCACCGCAACTAGAGCCGCTAGAGGTTTCTAGGAGATGAACCTCGCGATGTGGGCTGGGAGGCTGGGAGACAAGATCTAGATAGCTTCATAAGCCTGCATTTCAGCAAACGAAGCTATGAGTCCTGGGGCGGGTGAGCCAATGCTAATCCAGAGCATGACCTCACCTGATGGCACCCTATCATGCACTTGCCCAAGTAGACGGGGAACCGTACAGAAGACCGAGCGACCTGCCATGCTAGGCCATGGTAGTTGGTGCCCACGTAGGCCAGCTTCAGGACCTTCTTGCGGAAGCAGTTCGGATACCGGGCTTCATGGCCCCAAGTCGTGTAACCACGGGGTAAAGCCGCTAAGCGAAGGGCCTACCAAGATTCGCATCCGCCTGAAGGACGCTTGGGGCTTGGGCCCAGGCATAGTGGCCAAAGGTCGCTTTGGTCCAATCGAACTCTCGCGGGCCCTTCTTCTTCTTCTTCTTCTCCTGGGTCTTCCTGGAAGTTGGCCGCAAAGCAAGGCCAGCAAAGCAAGGCCAGCAAAGCATCCGGCTCTTGTCCTACCCGAGACATAAATCAAACACTTCGCTGCGTCGGTAGCCTTCTTCTCCGCATCAAGTGCTGGGACTAAGGCCGAAAACAGTCCAGTCGTTGCCAGATTTCGGCCAAGCATCCCGACGCCCTCGATCGCAGCTTCCATGGCTGCCGGACATGCAGCAGGAAACTGCTCTTTGCGTTCAGGTTTGTCAGCAGTACTTCCACGGCACGGCCCCTCTCCCTTGTGGCCTAACGACTGCACTAAGCCACAAAATTCCAAAGGAGAGAATCAGCCACCACGGCGAAAGTGAAAATGTGGATCTGAAGCTTCGGAATTTGAGTATGCCCTTATCAACCGTTGGGTAGGCAGATTGGAGCTGCTTGAGCATTTTCCTCGAGTGCCTCCTGGCAGCGTACACATGGAGTAGGCACGACTGTGTCTGGCATCGTTGAGAAGGAAGACAGGCGTGCACTCCGTCTGACTCGCCGCGCGCCTAACTCGCGCTTGCCCCTTGGCTTCACCTGCACCGGCAAGATCGGGGCGGATATATACATGTTACAGTTACAATGTTATATTATATTAGTATTGGAAGACGTGGAATACGGCCGTGATTTAGCCTTTGATCTCGTGCCTGAAGCCTCGGCCTGGACTCGGGGTCTTTCCTGGACTCTGAGCCCGGAAAGACGAGGTGAAACGTAGACGAAGGTTGATTTTGCTAGGCCATTGGTGATCGGGGAGCTGGGCATGACGCTCGAAAGAGAAGAAGACACACCAGGAAAAGACATCACTACGCCAAGTTGCACTTGGTCATCAGCTCCTTTCTTTTGGACTTCTCTGCACATCTCGACCACCGTTCGGAGCACAGTTGGAATGCCCTCCTTTTTCAGGATCGCTTTGGACCACTGAGCTGGATGGTCGTCGGCTCCTTGCGGCAAGAACTTGGTCCTTCACCACAGACCCAAGTCAGGAACATCACTCCCGCCAGATTCGCCTAGTCCCCAATGCTGTCTTGGGATCCGCTTCTCCATGTGACGGCTTGGTGCCTTGCTGTTGCTCAGTATCACGTACATGAGGTTCTCAGGATTTCCAACGAGGGCCGTCACTCAAACAGCCGTCGAACATCCACTTTTCCAGACTCGCGCCGTAGGACCTGCCGAGAAGGGCACAAGTCGGTGAAGACGAGCATTAAAATCACAGAGGCAAAGAACTGATTTAGGGCGTGGGCAGTGATGATGGCGATGATCATGGCCGTGGCAGGGTTATGATGCTGTGGTGAAAATGATATAATGGTGGCGAGGGAAGTAGTCAGTATTGAAGGTGGTGGCAGTGAAGGTGAAAGCGACTAGGTGCTGGCGATCAAAGCTTGATCCCCGGTGTTGCTGTCACTGTGCCAAGGTCGGACAGAGTCTGGGAATACACAAAATCGAGTGGAAAACATCGGTGCACAGATCCACGCTGCCATTTGCAGATAGTTTCAAGGCACACCGGGGCACCCAGCAGCTTTGTTTTAGGGGTGCAGTTTTTGACTGTCCCCGAGCAGAACCTCCAAGTGCTCCTTGCCGCAGACCAACTCCATGACAAGTCGTCATGCAGCCAGAGCAACCCACATGACCACCGCATGAAGACCGGCTCTTTCATGCAGAAGACAGTCACTGGGGTAAGGAAACACTCCCAGGCCCTGCTTCCCAATTCTAAACAAAGCACGCGAGGGTGAAGGCACACAGCAAAGGCCTGGGGTGGAGCTGCTGACCGCTGTGCAGGCGCTCCTCAGCACAGGGCCACGACATGTTTTCTCATCGAACATCGCGAAAGCTCCAAACGCTCACTTCACGAGCACTCGAAGGTTCGGCTCCTTGTCTATGCACAACCTAAAGGGCCGTCCAGCTCGTCCCTTGCACACCAAATCCCAATCCTGACACATTCTATGCTGATGAACAGACAAGGCGTTAGGGCAAACCCTTGACGAATCTGCAGAAATTGCGCAGTGCCGACATACTACTGCGGAGATTCGAGCAAATGAAAAGCAAACATGACCCACGTTCGTGCCGCCTGGCAACCTCTGATAGCTGTCTACTAAGTCCACTAGCCGGACCCATCTACTGAGCAAACCAAACCCCGAGAATGACACACCTCTCAAAGCCACCAGCTCCGAAGCGCAACCATCCGTAAAATTCTTGCTTAATCTTCTGCACCCCTCTTTGGCCGAGACACACACAAGTCGCAGTAGGCGACACGGTAGTTCGCCTGAATGCTTCAATCTGCTACGAAACTGAAAAAGTAGCATTGTCTACTGAGTCTACTGGCTGCGGCCGCAAGTTCTGCTTCAGGCCATCCGACCCCAGTGTACATACACTCAACCCTCTTTCTGCAAGAACCTTTGTACGAGTCGAGCGTGTGAATGCTTGAGCCGATGGATCGGATCCGGCTCGACATCTGGTTTGGGGTAAAGCGCACAAACGGAGCGCACTGGGCTGCCGAGGTGGATTGGCCAATGCTCAGGCATGCTGCATGATGCCAACTCTCCATGTAGGAAGCCCGGCGCTTCCGACCTTTCACCCCTGAACCTTGGAAAGCCCCACGAAAGCACGGAAACAGCAGGAAGAAGGATGGTTCTAAATAGTACAAACTCCAGGCCCTCGAACAAAAATGTCTCCATGCACCTCTTGACTTTCAACAGCTGTCGTTTCTCGGCCGGCTTCTGGCTTTCCAAGCTTCAAGAAGGCGAAGTTGCAAGAAGCTGGTTTCAAAAAGCCCGTGTCCGGGGCGCAGGCCGTCTGGGTCGTGACTTTCTGCATCTGCCGCCAGGCATGGAATCCTGGGCTCAGAAGCACGTGTCCAACTGGTCAGAAGCCCTAGGCCCCTACAAGCACTCTGAGAAGTAGCTGAAGCCGACTTGCGGGCAGGAAGCGGTTGTACCTCGTGTCGTCGGCATCGATTTCGAGCAAGGTCTGTGCCAACTCCTCCAGAGATGAAAAATCATCAACCTGCGGAGCTTCGGTCGGCGTTCGTGCTTGAGAATTCGGGAGTTCACCTTGAAACGAAACGCGAAGCCTCAAAGCTACATGACAACGGACAGGACATTATGCGACAGAATCTGACGAAGTGCACCCTCAGCAGCATACCCAATCGCCACGGGATTTCGCCGGGCAACATGGAGGAAGGAGTCTGGCGGTGCCAAGAACTCGTAGTCTTTCCTCCCCAACCCACCCAAAGCCAGGGGCACCTCAGCTAGCTTTGCCCGGAGCTCGTATTTTTGTTCAAGGAAATTGCCCCGATTTCTGTCAGAAGCTGTGCTACTTCCTCAAACCATCTCTGTCCGAGCACCATGGGAGTGCTGGTTCCGAGGCCACGGAAGAATTTCTCGGTGATGTAGCCTTCGCAACGGGTATTCCTCAGCGGTGAGCTACCAGTATGTGCATTTGGCAAGGACGCTGGGCTCAGACGTGATCTGCCGAGGCTCTCGAAGGCCGCATAGAACTTGTACTTGGACATGAGGCGTATGTTGCAGGGATCCCCGCTATGGGCAGAGCTGCAGCCCGCAGACCGACCGCAGGCTCCAAACATGTGAACTCTTTCTGGGCCCAAGATCTTCTGCAAACCTTTGAAAAGGCTCATGCGACCTTTGGCTCCACAGTTCGACACGAACCAGAGGAGGAGGTGCTGCTTCCCCTCTGCGTAGTTGTGAGGATCTGGGCGCTCCCCCGGCTGGAGGCTCCTAAACCTGTAGTAAGGCCGGAAGATGTCGGAAGTGCCCTTGTATGTCATGGTCAGGTCCACTTTGCCTGACAAGGCCTGCGTGGCTTTGCGCGCGAAGCCGTGCTGGGAGGCAGATTCAAAATGGAAGCTGTATGCCCAAATCTGGCCTGGAATCTTTGTCCTTGGCGGGATCTTCAGTGGAGTCATCCACAAAGGATTGAAGACAACTGCATCAGCTCGAGCGAAATCTCTCTTGTTTACTGTCAAATTGCACTGGTGTGGGCAACGCAAGATTTTACCTTGTAAGCCTCTCTTCTTCACTGGCTTTCCATCCTCAACGCAATTCACGAAGATCAACTTCGCCTTCTCTGCGACGATCGCGTTCGAAGCGTTTGGAGTCGCCTGGATGGCAGCCGCGGCCCCGGCCTCCTCTGGGCCCTCCTCTGCCTCCTCTTCTGAGGACTCGGACTCGTTCGAGTCACTCGCTTCGCCGTAGATGCCGGCCTGCAATGCCGCGGAGAGGCTGACGAAGTGCGGATCTGCCAGGCGGAAGGCCGAAAAGGACGCCACGGCAAACGTTGCCAAAGTCAGAAAACAGGCGAACAGCAGGTAGCGCCCGCACTTCTGCAGTCGTGAGCTCTCGGAAGCCTGCCAGCCCCGCAGCATCGCGACATCGTCGCCACAAGGGGTGCCAAGAGAACACTCTTCACCACCGTCCCATGGATGATACAGCGCACGCGGCTTCGGCTTCCTGAAACAACATGAGACCAACTTCAGGTAGAAACCTGTGAGCCGTTGACCGAGAAGAGAAAACCGAGAATTTAGTAGCGACTTGATGGAAAGCTTGCCTTCACACGACTACTTTCCAAACGGCTCACCTCTATGCACAGTCTCAGTAAGCCAGGTTCCAGGGCTGGCGGCTGGGGACGGCGCATGTGACTACAAAGGAAGAGATTGAGAAAGCGAACCTGTCTGGCCACATGAAGAATAACGACCAATTAGATACCCAGATGCATATCGCCGACAGTTAGGCATTGGCCCAATCCTGTCAGGCCCCAAAACGGTTGCACTCTGAAGCCTTGAAGCCTCCCCTACTGCCCTACTGCCGGGGTTGCCTCTGTCCTTCTGTTCTACAGTATCAACTGGTGCTGGTGCTGTTGGCAGTGGTGGTGGTTTCGGCGGTGGCGGTGGGATGCTTGTGCCATGTTGGGCAGGCTGGGGATGCTGGGGATGCTGGGATAAGGGGTGGGCCTGTGCTCAACAGGTTGCCTGACTTCCGCCCACGCCTTGGAGAACAGGATGGCGGCATCGCTTGGCTTGAAGGCCGCGTTGTGCAAGCAGCAGTCCTCTTTCATGAGCTTTTTCGACTTCCAGCCCTCAAGATTGGCACAGTGCGGGGAGGTTTGTCCAAAACTACCATGTGCGGAAGGTCCCTTCGCGGGAACATGGAAGCTTTCAACAATACACTCACAATTTCTTGTAATAACGGACTGCGAAAAACCCTGCAGCAGCCCGGCTGTCCCTGGAAAACATGGCTGCGATTACGAGCCTTTCCCCGCTGAGGCTACGAGTACCGTGTGTGTGTGTGTGTGTGTGTTGTGTGTGTGTGTGTTTGTGTGTGTGTTGTGTGTGTGTGTGTTGTGTGTGTGTGTTGTGTGTGTGTGTGTTGTGTGTGTGTGTGTTGTGT